ATTTGCAGCGATATCCTAGCTGGTTGTTCACTACTTTCGACAAAATCTTTCATGTTCGCTTGTCACAATCTTGGTGGGCATACGTTGCACAATAGTCCTGGTAATCCAATTGCTATCTAGTGTTGGTGTAATGATTGCATAAGTTGTTAATTCAATGTCGGCACATTTCTCATAAACCTTATCTGGATAATGATTTTACCTAGACTTGATGTTGGTGAACATATTTGTGAGCACACAAAGACTTTGTCATGTAATGTCATGACACTGATTTCGTTTTGAAACGATAAATTCTAATACAAAGTTTTTAGTGACGAATGGGCTCGAGTTCAAACTTTTGAGAAATTACCACATATAGCTACATGACCTCTTGCCTGGTGAAGTTTAATTGGCGGGAGAGTTAATTACTTTTCACTCGAGGGACTTCATTATTTGCTCCGAGTGGCATGTAAGCGAGTCGATCAGATAAAAATACTTCTCTCTACTTTGACTCGCTAACCCTTCCGTACGCTCATCCTTAACTTACCTTGCTACGAGGCTTACCTGACTTTGCTCAATTTTTGTTGTTAATGGAGTCTGCTATTTAATACCCTCCTCACAAAGTTACTTATGAGTCCTCTCACTTGATTGAAAACTGATGAACGACCCTGATTGAGTTTGGCAAGCTTGATGATAAACGTTAGACTCTCTGAGCTTATCAACTTAGCTTTAGCATACTAATAGAAAAGTGGTAGGTAGTCGTCATTCCACCTCGTGTGGGAAGTTGACCTCTAAGGAGGGGGAGTGTTCAAAGTCGCTCTACTAACTTTCCCGATTTACTCGCACTCATTGACGGACAGAAAATGACGCATCTTTAAAAAAGTTGTCTGCCTACTTGTTAAGTTTTTAATTGACGGTGACTGATTCAAAAAGACCATCATTCTAAGCGTTTAACAGAAAAGGCAAGTTAGAGAAAGTCAATATATTGTTATTTTTCGACAAAAAAATCATATTTGTTTAATAATTTGTTGAGATTAATTATCAAATCCAATCTTCATTTTCGTACTCAATGACTTTCATCAGTTCTGTATCTAGCAACATTTTGCATGTTATACGAACATAAACTGTCTTTGCCAGCACTATGCGCTATATATGAACAAAATGTCCTCACAACTGATGCTTATACTTCGCATTGGTGAAATTTAACTAATGCAATGAGATAATAATATTTTTTGTTGTTAGCTAATTTTATTTTACTTATTTCAAATGCCCTGTTTCTTTGAATATCCAGTGACGTTTGAACGAACCTAAGCATTGTGGCGTTCATTGTCAATAATACATCGTGTATTATTCGAGTGGGGCTTACAACTGGTAGTACATTGTGTACTATTCAAATCAGGTTTCGTCGTTCGTAGTGCACTATGTACTAATTGAGTATAATTTATTCTCATTAACACCATGTGCATTACTTGAATGAAGTCCGCTACCTGCAATACTTGATAACACCCTTAGGCCATAAACGAATAAACATTATATAATATTAATTTTTGTTAAAAAAAACAGAAAGTAGTTTGTTGAGAGTACCTACAACAAATAGTCTGTCAATAGCCTTAGTAGTGGGTCATTTTACTGAGAAGTTGGCAGTCGACCGTTAGTCGATGAACCTTTCAACGAGAGATTGCGAAAAATTTCAGCGGAAGCTAACTTGTAGAGAATAAATTGTGTTTTCAACAACACCCTATGCATCATGTTATGAATCTGTGACAAAGACCTCATTAACCTTTTATTTAATCAACTCGAAAATAATTTTTAATAAATTATAAAAAGGATCATGCGTTGCAAGGATACTTTGGTGATGCTCTGCACACTCTATCAAGACAACATGAAAGAGTGAGAGGATAAAGCAGTTGAGGACATCCTGTTCTATATGAGCCAATAGGAGAACGGATATTATAATTAATGAAGGAAAAAAAAAATCAAGTACCTTATTTGTTTTCATGGATCAGACGAGAAGCTGCATAGTACCTTGTCATCTATTGAGACGGAAGATCGTGTCGTGAGGATCGTCAGTGGTCAGGAATGATTTATTTAGACGATCATCTTCAGTGTTTGGTTCAGTTACTTCAACCATAAGAGAAACAACAAAAAAAACCTTATGAACTTAACGTGTTTGAACCAGTCTACCTAGTAGTGCAAGCTAATTGATCACTCAATCAAAGAGAATAAGACACGAGAAAAAAAATGTTATATGGGTGACATGAAACACACAACAAGAAAAATTAGACAAGTCAGAAAATGAGAAGATAGACTACATTACATCATTCAAGGACGAGATGAGAAAGAGAGCACTCAATATTATCAAGAGACAAACCATAATCGAGTATACAATTTATTATTAGGATCATAATTGTGAAACAATCAGCACAACTAGAATATTCGAGACAATAAAGCAAGTCGGAGAAATCATCAAGGAACAAGAATGATCGTTATTCAGATGCGTACAATCCAGTCATTTTCGGTCGATGGGTCAGTCTGGACCAACCTCAACCGGATTGCTTCTAAAAAGGTCGTGCCATATCTTTATATTTGTGTCATTGGTTTAAGAGAAGAGGATCTCACCATATATGTTGTTGTCACTCAATTTGCTTAGACAACAATTTATGATTTGAAAATTTACATAAAGAGAACAAAGAAGACTCATGCATGTTTTGACTCAATGTTGACAGTGACGACAACTTATCTTGACGAACGAGCAATGAAGATAGAGTATAAGAAAGATACGCTAATTTACAACTTCGGTCTTAAGTAGTATGCAAATTATCCAAAAAATCATATCTCTTTCAATAATTGTGATGGTTTTTACTGGGAAGACCTCGTGAACTTGGCAAAGAGGTACATCTCTCCAACAAAGATTGATTATAAGACAGTGACCAAACCCTCTGGGTTTGACCATCTTCGACGATGAATCGTTTTCAAGCTATATCTTCCTACCTTATGAAAAATATTATGTTTTATGCTTGACTTCCAAATCATGGGTCTTAGGTGTCTCTATATCACTAGACCACAATCTCAAAAGACGTGGCCTAAAGCGTTCGAGACACATGGTGAAAAAAAAAACCTGAGGATGAGACTTGCGAGACTCTAGACGAATCTTGACTATGTTTTCTCATCTGTATTTCTTGAGATTATTATGAATTCTTAGCTTTCATCATTTATCTTGTCTTTGCCTTTAGTCAGTCAATCTTGATTTTGTTTCCATCAACATTGTTTGGTGATATGCTCTATGTTGATCGCGACACAGTTCTCAAATTTCTAAATTGACAATCATGAATATACACGTGATATATTTTATTTTAATTTTATTACTTGCATGATCATTGTTGTTCCAAACCAATTCAATTGAAGGTTCCTAAGATCGGAGTCCAACATCGATCGTAATTGAAAGGTCCCGCTTGAAGCCAGTGCTTGCAAAAATTAAACAAAATATTGCGTGACAACCTGTTATCTTTTCGGTCGCCATAAATGGTCTAAATGAAAAAAGTGCGACAACACGTATGAGAGAGAGAGAGAGAGAGCGGGGGGAGCTGGATTCCCGGGCGCGAGAGAGAGAAAGATTAGGTGGAGGGAGTCCGAAACCGCACGCGAGAGAGTAGGTGGAGGTAAGGAGAGAGAAGAAAGAGAAGTCGGGTGGAGGGCGCGGGTGCACATATGTATATATTTGTGTTGTCATATTTGCTATACACTAAAAAAAAAACATGACTGTGGCAAACTGTTTTGTCGGACTTTCACCGATTTATGAGGAGGTTGTGTGTGTGTGTGTGTGCGTGTGTGTGTGTGTGTGTGTGTGTGTGTGTGTGTG